AGAGAGAGAGAGAGACGACGAGACGACGACGACGAGAGAGAGAGAGACGAGACGACGAGAAGAAGAGAGAGAGAGAGAGAGAGAGAGAGAGAAGAGAGAGAGAGAGAGAGAGGAACACTCAAGGAGCATAGAGATTATAGAGAGAGAGAGAATGGTGAGGGTTTGACAACTATTCTTAAACTCAGAACTCTTCTCTCGACAGTTGAAGCTCTAGCTATGGTGATAAAGGGCAAAAAAGGGAGGCACCTGGCCATTTGGGCTCTCATGGTTGCAGTGTGGTTGTTGGCTCTAAGGCCTCAATCTCTCACAAACTTCCACCCCCACCGCTTCAAAGACCTCCGCTCCATCCAAGGGACTCCCGTTCTCGGACATTCCATCGATAAATTTCGTGATCATCTACGTTGCATCAGGTAAGGATCTCTCTCAAGTGTGTTTGACTACTAAGTCGAGCCAACTCATACTCGCTTAAACAATTTCGGCTCACTACCCTTATGAGCTAGAGTGTCAAGCGTTTGTCGGTTATGTTAGAAGAACTTAAAAAAAAGTTTCAAAAACAAATTATCAAATATCCAAAATACAAATTTTTCTTTTGTAATATATTAGTTCATGATTTCTATTATTTTAGCAAAGATTGGAAAGTGTTTTAGCTATAAATACTTATTTTTATGCTTTTTTTTCTTTTTTGATTGTTTCTAAATGAGTGATTTACATACGGACCCTAAATTTTTTTCTAAAATATAAAATGCTATAGGTGGAAAGTAAAAAGAAGGTTAGTTAACCCACTCTTTTCTATTTATTTTCAAAATTATCTCTTGGTCCGAGGATATCCTCTGACCGATTTTTTTTCTTTTTTTCTTTTTTTTTAGTAGGGTACTATCTTAAATCTTGGGGCACTGCCTTACTAACGAAAAAACAAAAAAAAAAAAAATTCGGAGCAAGAACTCCATCTTTAGATGGAAGGGCAATTTTGAAAAAAAAAAAAAAAAACAGATTGATCGATCTTTTTTGTAATTTTTTTTTATAAATGGAGATTAGGATCCGTATGTAAATTATTCTTTCTAAAATTACCCCAGTCACAAATTGATTATTTCAAAATCCTCTTTTTCACATCTTTTTTAACCTCATGCAGGTTATGTTTTGTTTGATTTTACTTTAAACATATTTTCTTATTTTTAAGTTTTTTATATTTTTTTAATGTTTTTTAACACTTTTTAACTTGCCCGGACCCCTACCCAACTCGGGTGTAGTAACTCAGACCTCAGCCCGTGTTACGTGGCTATCTCAGGCTTGGCCCATGGCCGAGTTCCATCCTCGAGTCGTCCCCCCCACAACTCTATCTCTCTCTAAAATGGATTTTTAGAACTACAGTGAATCTGGAAGATGGGTTTACGATCCGATGCCGAGGCAGATCCCATGGAACCATGTGGCGGAGCAGTACTCGGAGCGGTGCGAGGAGAGACACCCCGGCTTGCGAGGAGAAGGCATCGCAGGAACATATTACAGCACTGCAAATTGGACGGTTTGCGAATCATCTTCTCTGCTATTTGTTTTCCATGTGATGTTTTGAGATAATTTCTGGCCTTTTAGAAAGAGTGGAGTGCTGCAACAGAGTGATATCCATGGTGGGAAAGCGCCTATAAAACAATTCTCTCTCTCTAGAAACCTACACAGTAAGACTTTCTCTCTCTACAAATCTATACTTCACACTAAGTGCTTACATCCATGCAAAATCTTGGCAAAATGCATTTTCATAGAACAATGGCCCTTCCGTTATCTCTCAAAACTCAAAATCAAAAGCATAGCTTAATTAGCACGTGTACTACGCTCCCTCGGGAGCATAGTTTGCTTATCCCTTGGTAAGAAAACATACTTGAGAAGGTTTTTTTTTATCTGAAATTTTGGGAATCAGTTGATGATTATTTTAAAAAGAAAAAAATTTGAAATTTGAAATATTTGACACGTGGATTTCACTATACAAAAATTGGGTGGTATCTATTGAATCTCAAAATATTATTTTTTTCAAGTGCATAAAGATGCAATTAGGTAAAGTTCTTGTTGAGGTTAGTTGAAGAGGTTGCATTCTCAAAATTTGGGTCTTAAAACGAAGGAAAAAGTTTATATAGAGCAGCGGTCTAAACAATCAAATTAGAGTCCACCTAAAAAATTTCACTAGAAGAGGTTGGTGTGATGTTCAAATATCTTCAAATTCATCATCTCGACATCAAGATGCATGGACATGAGAAAAAATAGAATTTAAACTTTATAAATAGTACATCTTGTAATACATTTCTTAACCGTCAATTTCAAGAATTTTGTAGATCTGGTCAATCTATACTATTTTTGAAGCTTTAAATTTTATAATTAAAGATGAAAAAATATTTTAAGGCTATCACAAAGATTTCCAATATTGAAACCATATTTCTAGACATTATTTGAAGGTGCTTTTTACTTTGATTGTTTAGAGCCTCGGCTCTATACAATAACAAACGGCACCCTATTAATTATAGGTGGAGTTTTATTTGAGGGAGTAAATAGATGTTATACTCCTTCCATATTATAATATCTTTTGGCTAATATAATTAGTATATGTTTCTAGATTCCTTCCACACAATTCGTATTCCAAACTATCTCTCTTCTCTCCCTAGTTCTACACCTTAAAAAAAAAAAAAAAGTCAGTGAGGATTTGAACCTCTATCTTTTGGTGAGAACGGAATCAGAGACTTCATCATAAAACTCGTTGGTACTAGTTCCAAGACCCAACCCATGTTTAAGTTCTACAACATGACCATAGGCTCCCTACAAAACAAAATAATAAAATAGTATTAGTATTTTCCTCTATTTATGTGGTCTCCTAAGTTGACTGTACTTGGAGATTTTTCTGTCATCTCCCGAGGAGCATATCAATCTTAGAGATGCTCCGGCTGGAGCACAGAATCTTTTGACTTGCATAACTTATCAACCCCTTTCCTTGCAGCTGAAGCTTGTTACTAACCCTAATGAGATGTTATTAACCCTAATGAGAAAAGGTTGCGGTTTGCATAAGCTTGCAACCTCAAACAATCAAATTAAGGCGCATCTCCAAATCTTTTCATAAATATAACTTTGGCTTCTTCGGATAGCATTTTCGTATCTAATTATAAAATTTTAAACCTAAAAAATAGTTCAAATCAAGTAGATTTATAATCGTATGAAAATCTTTAAAATGGACAGTCTAGATAATGTGTCGCAAAATACACTATTTTGCATACTCGAAATCATTTTTTCTTTTCATATTCACATATCTCGACATCCAAATGTCCATTATAGGGTTTTCAAGCATCGACACAACCTTTTAAAATATATTTTTGAGATACACCTTAATTCTACATTTTAAAGCTGCAACTTTATATAAACTTTTTTCATTAAAAAATAAGAGGCCTTATAAAAAGAAGAAAGATAGTGGTGCGAAAATGTTGGATTAGATAATATATTAACATGCATGTTATGTGATAGCAATTGTTGGGGCTGGGCCTCGTGCTTGCAGGCGAGCCCTGGTTCAGGCCGCATTTGGGCTCATCGGTAAAGGACCTATTTTATAGTGATGATAGTAGATTCCGTTTGAAGTGTTCTTCATTTTCGACAGAAAAGAGAAGCACTTTGGTTCTTCAAAATATTGGGGGAAGTTTTTTAATGTATTTTTAAAACTAAAAAGAATATGTATAACTAGGCACCTTCAGAAATTTTTTTAATGTAAAAGCATATGTTATAGAAATATGAATAGGAATTGTATTTTATAAGACCATTTACTTTTAGTACATAGAGTTCACAATCTTTTTTAGCCATTGGATGTGAAATCCTATGTATTAAATTGTTTCACAATATTCAAAAAATTTTATTTGGGTTTTTGTACCCAGTCAATGACACATCCACATATACTAGATGTTCACATCTAATGGTTAATGGTTAATAATGATTGTGACCTCTTTCTATTAAAAATAAATTGTCTCATTTAATGCATTTCCTTATGAATATTATCGGTTATATTTTTTGAAATTTTCTGCTTTGTGGTTTTTTTATGCCTATTAGGGGTGCTTTTGAAAAGTTTGCAAACATATTCTCTTTAGCGGGTAGTGATTTGCTTTGCCTCGGTCTACGGCTAGAAGCCAAAGACTTCGACCATTTTTAGGGACAAGAAACCAATAAAGCGGTTGTCATGCATATATAGCAACAATTATAATTTCTTCATCATTTTTTTTTCGAAGAAAATCGCGAAATAGCATAGTGAACCTTTCACTAAAATATCCTATAATATTTCAGAAAATTAGAATTTTTTTAAACAAGGTATTATTTTGAAATAGAAAAAGTTTATATAAGTGCGAGGCTCTAAACAATCAAATTGGGGCGTACCTCAAAAATTTTATTAGAAGATGTTGTTTGGATGCCTAAATTGATCATCTCGACCTCAAGATGCATGGACATGAAAAAAAATGGATTCCAAGTTTTGGAAATAGTGCATCTTGTATATTTTTTTATCGTCAATTTTTAAAATTTTCAAATTTTCATAGATCTGTTCGATCTACACTATTTTTAAAACTTTAAATTTTATAATTGAAGATGAAATATATTCTAAGGCTATCACAAAGATTTCCAATATTGAAACCACATTTCTCGATATTATTTGAAAGTGTGCTTTACGATTCTGTAGTGCCTCGGCTTTATACAAAGCGCACCATTTTGAAAATGGTTCTCCCATTCCTTTTGCCTTTTCCCACCATTTGTCGCATTATTCCCACTTTCCTCTATTCAATTTTTTTAAAATGTAATGTTAGCAATCCATAATAGCTTTAAAGACATGGTTTTGCTTTCAAAACCTACTCCATTTTTATCCATTTTTTAAGGATAAGGATTTGATGAGGGTGCCACTGTATAAAATTTGTTAAGGCCGCACCTTAAAACCCCATTGAGAATCCATACCCAGTGTCTAAAAACCTTATGATAGCTCGTAAATCTATTTCTCCATTATGGAAAGTAAAGCTCCATAAATGGTGCAGAACTGGTGCGTCTATAAACACCTAAAACTGTTGTACAAGATGAGTAATTTTTAGGTCTAGAAATCTAATTTTTTTTGTATGATATTTACCTATTTTCCTACACCAAAATTTCATTTTCCAATGAAATTTAAGGTGCTGATGTATAAAGCTGTAGCTTTACAGAGTTCTTTTACTTAATAGAAATCTCATAATAAACAGTGTTTGAACCAATGGTAGTGCTCACATCTTTGCAGGTGAGGGAGGAGCTCAAATGGGTTTGGCAGAGCAGCAATAGTTGCCCAACCCTACCAGTTGACAGAAATGACTGGTGTAAGTTGCTAGGTGCCAAGGGCAACTTGATGATTGTGGGAGACTCCATTAACCACCAAGTACAATGGTCTCTCACTAATGCCCTAATTGGAAACTTCTCAAATGATCCTCGCATTGTGAAAGATGAGTATCCGGTATGTAGGACCTGCCAAGGATTTCCGCTTTGCGAAGATGTGCTTGGTGCGGGGCGGGGAATCAATGTGAGTTTCATTCGCAACGATAAGTTATCAGCAGTGATCAAGCCTAGTGAAAACAGAGAGGCAAATTTCTACCAGTGGCCTTGGCTTGATTACATAGATTTGTGGGAGATCAAGTACTTATTGCTTAACAGAGGTGCACATTATGAACCAGATCATGCATATGTGGAATCTCTCAATTCGACGCTCTTTTATCTGCGATAAAAGCATCCGAATCTCCTAGTCATCTTCAGGAACACACCACCTGGTAAGACTCGCATTATTCTTTCTTGCAGTAGCCATGGCTCTGCAATGGAGTGGCATTTTGATTGTTCCTATCAAGATGACTGTTTGGCATGGAAATTATGGATTTTTTTTGAATTATGCATAACCTAGTGTATTAAAAAAAGCTTCCCACAATTTTGGAAATAATTAGGCATGATGTAAATTTTAGAAGAATATTTGATATACAAAAAACTGTAGAATTGAGTTAACCTTGCACACCAAAAATTCCTTGTTTTAAATATGGGTGCTGTTTGTAAAAGATGACAATTTCATTTGTAGAATTGGGTTAACCTATTAAAACTATAAAAAAAAAGGACTTTTTTTTTCTTCAAGATAGCGTGAAATCTATACCATTCAAATAAAATAGACATTGTAAAAGGTCACAACCTATAGAAACTTTTTCCTTTAAATACCCCTTTTGGAGTCATTAACACCTTTAGTAATATAAGGCATCCCTTATGTTCTTGCCTGGAGTTTGGAGCTTAGAGCAAGCTCTAGGTTAGAAGTGGTCAAGTGGGCAGGTGCACCAACGTGATGTCTAGATTTCTATTTTCGCCATGTTCTAGGTTGACATTCAAAAAAGAAAAAAGAAAAAAGAAAAAAGAAAAAAGAAAAAAGAAAAAAGAAAAAAGAAAAAAGAAAAAAGAAAAAAGAAAAAAGAAAAAAGAAAAAGAAAAAAGAAAAAAGAAAAAAGAAAAAAGAAAAAATGATTCTTGGTCAATTTCCAACTATTTGATAGGGTACAATCAATTTTTTTTGATAAAAAGGAAGGTGAAATTTTATATATACATAGGCATTTTTATTTCAAAAATTTATGATCTACAAAAAAGATCAATAGAAGACTTAAGGTAAATGTGGTCAGGGTGGTGGTGCCACAACATGATGTTTTGAACTCTATTATAATTCGTTTGCATCTATACACCTACTAAACCCTTTATTTTTTTTTTGTCATACTTTCTTGTATTAGGGCACTTGAATTGCACTGGACACAAGAAGCCTCTACTAGAGAGGCAAACTTTCACCGCAGAGGATAACAAGTACCATTGGGGAGACTTTCATAGACAAAATAAACTTGCAAGGAAGTTGGTTGAAGATTTCGGCTTCATATACCTGGATGTGGATGCTATGGTTAGCCTACGCCCTGATGGTCATGTTCATGAACATGATTGCCTTCATTACTGCAGTTGTGCTCCTCTACAACACATTCAGGGTCATTTCATCCTTTGCTTCATAGTTTTAAGGGTAGATTGCATGGCCTATGCGTGTTTGCGTGTGTGTATGCGTGTGCACATGTGAGAGAGAGATATGCATATGTGTATTGTGCCATTGTTATTCATTGATACATGTCTTTAGGGGTGGAAAATATAACACAGTGAAAGAGATTTGGAGTCTTCATATTTTATGACAAAGGAGAAATGGCAATAGCTTTTCAAGGATGTATTTAAATAAAGGATTCATGAAAATAAGAACACGAAGACAAAAATATATTACACCGATAATACATATTTGCCATATATTTCATTACATCTAATATAGAAGAGATCGCTCTTTTAATAAAATAAAGTAAGTTTGTCAAAAAAAATTATACAAAAGAGATCGTAGAAAAGATATTCTCTCCTTTAATAAACATTAAATTACAAACAAATATATAATGCATTTAAAAAATAGTTTTTGGAATAGGAATTTCTTTCTTTTTGCTAGAATTCCAAATTATTCATTAAAATTTCTTTTTAAAAAGTCCAAAACGGAAAATTCAGTTGGTGTATCTTCCTACGTAAGATTATAGATTATTAGATAGATATTAAATAAAAGGGAGTGATTTGATGAGACAATTTCTTAGCAATCTAATGGAACCATCTTTCAAAAACCATCTTCATCCCAATGATCATTCTAAAAAATGGAAATAAAGAAAAATAAAATTTTACCCTAACGATCATATTTTTTAAACATAATGAAAATAGAATGGAGCATTTGATAGGTAGTTAGATCAATCCCTTTAGTTATTTTGTTTGTTCTTGATACTATAGATTTTGTAGTTGACCTTATTATAAAAACAATCATCATCATCATCCAAGCATCATCTCAATTGTTTGGGGTCGGCTACATGAATCTTGTTCATCTATTATTTATTATCAAAGCTATCCTCTCAGTAAGACCAAAAGTCGTCTTATATTTTCTCACTATTTTTTATACATATCATTTTGAACTTTACCCTTGCCTTTAGAGCTTTCTACATAAACTAAATTGTACCTCCTAACCAGTAATGTATTAGGTCTATGTTGTACATAGTCAGCTACCTAAGTGTATTTTCCCTCATCTTATCACTTATTGAAGCCACACCTAAGTTCTCTCGTATGTATTCATTTTGAATTCTATTATTTTTGCCTTGTAACTCATCAATCTTGACATCCTCATCTAAGCTATGCTAATCCTATTGATATGTTGTTTCTTGACCGCCTAACATTCCATCCCATAAAGCATGACTGATCTTAAAAACCATTCTATAGAACTTTCCTTTTAGTCTCAATTGTATGCAGTGATCAAATAAAACTCTGGATGCACATCTCCACTTTTTTTGCCCAACTTTAATTCTTTGTGCGAGTTTCATCCTTGAGTTGTGGTTCTAACACTGCTCTCTCTATCTCTCTCTCGCAAGAAGTAAACCTCCACTCTTTGTTCAATGATGTAAGGGTCTCTCTCTGCCCCACCTCTCTCTCTCAAATAGATTTTTTTGGAATTATTGTGGCATTTGAGACATTTTCAGTGAATCTGGAAGATTGTGACCTCTATGTAAAAAAGATAACTAATATTTTTGTAGAAAATCCCTAGGCCAATAGAGGGGAAAAATGCAGTTCAGAATTGATCGTTCCAAACCACATTGTTTCGATGGATGGTTCAGTGTTGACTGTTACACGCTACTGGAAAAAAGAAAAAAAGGTAGTCCCAAATTATCAATTATGAAAACAACAGTTTAAACCAGTTTTGAACTGCCTTTTTTCCCTCGTTTGAGTACTTCAAAACTATTAGTTCCGAACCACATTCTCCCCTTTTGGACATGGTTGTAATTAACTATCTCAAACTACTTGAAAGAGTGAGAAAGGCAGTTCGGAACTAACAATTCTGAATTGCTTCGATATGGAACTAACGAATCCAACTAGAGGGTATTTTGGAATAAAATAAAAAAGGGTGGAAATGGGACATCTCCATAAAATCGAAAAATTACAGATTAAATTTTTAGTATTACAAAAATAATGGGATATTTATGTTAAGTTCCCTAAATCGTACATTTCTTGTGAATAAAAAACAGTCCCATATTTTGTGTTTTTTTACCTCAAGTTTATTTTTTGTTGGATTTTTATTTTTCCGGAATACCCCCCAAATTTGGCATCTAAAGAATCCTTACATTTTTGCAAGTTTTCCTTTTTAGCAAAATATTGGGTTCGCTCTTCAAGTGCTAAACCGACTTTTTCTAAATAAAAACAGTAGTTGCCATTAAAAAATCGATTTTTAGTACAAGGAGGCTACAATTAATTTTAACCATAAGATGCGATATCCAATAACTTTAAAGTATAGACTTATGTCAAGTCAATGATAGACCTATAGCCATTCATTTTCACATCCAACAATTCATGCTGATTTTGAGTTCATTGTACTAAAAGTAAAAAAGTATTATTTCCTAGAATGAGCGGACGCTTGCGAAAAATTAGATTTTGAGTTCCGAATAAGGGTGGCAACAGCTGGGGTTGGGTGCGAGTCGAGTGCCAACCAATCTAGGTTTCACCGACCTAGACCCGAGTCATTTGGGCACGAACCTAACCCAGACCTAGGTCTAGAGAAATTTAACAATAAATTTTTTTTACATATATCATTTCACATAAATTAATACCTAAACCCGACCTGATAGGGTCTATGGCGGCCATAGACCCAGACCCTGACTTGGGTTATTTGGACCTAGACCCGACCAACCAGTTCCAAAATATGGATATGGCCCAGTTCGTCCCGACCCGACCCGCTTGGGGGTTGTGGGGAGAGAGAGAGAGAGAGGGGTTTGTATTTGGGCGAGGGGCAGAGAGTTTCTTGCCACTACTCTGTCCCTCCATAAGGCCCGGACTGTTAGGAGCGCCGTTGTTTATACAGTCGTGGCTTCCTCCCGTCCTTCTCTCTTCACATCTACACTGAAAGTGAATGGAAATGGTGAGAGCTCTTCGTGTCTTCCTGGCAACCTAGACCTACTGCACTCAATAACAAAGAGAAGAAGAGAGAAGAAGATGGGGAGCCTTTCTTCTAAGAAGCCCCATACAAATCAAGCTGCTCCCACCCATGGTTTCTTCGACGTCTATGGAGCCGACGTATGTACTCTCTCTCTAAACCTCCCCTTTCATGGTTCTCCTTCTCTCTCTTAGCAGGTGTGATATCAACGCTTTCTCTCTCCCTTAATGGGCGTGATATTGAAATCTCTCTCCGTCTGTCTCTCTCTCTTTTTTTTTCCACTGTTGATGATGTTCAACTAGTTCTATTTGCTTCTGTGATTATATGTGTCTATTTTCGTTTTCTTTGTATGGTAGTTGCTTCATTTCTACTTGTCGGTTTACACGGAATACCCTTTTCCTGCATTAACTGTACACCTTTTATCTTTCCAATTTTTTTTTAGTGTGATATTTCCTATTTCTTTTCTCTTTTTGGTTTCAATGCCTGTATCAGAATTGGATTCTGCATTTTTCTTACTCCAGAGAAAGAAAAAAAAAGAAAAGAAGAAGAAATCCGCAATTGTGTTTCCAATGGTGCAGACAAAATGACATGATTGAAATATGATTGGTCTTTATGCGTTTAGAAGGATAGCTTGACTGTAAGAATTCAAAAACAGTGCTGGAAGAAATCTATTAGGAAACTTGTTTGACGTTGGCACAGCTCTTGAATCCTCTTTATATAGGATTAACACCATCGAATTGAATCCTCTTTCCTCCCGGTGATTTCAATATTACTTCATTATAGACCTCGGTCATTATTTCCTTTAATCCATGTTGATTGGCATTTCTATTTATGTGTTTCCCTATTGAATTTTCAACCATTGTTATTAGCCACTGAATTTGTGCCAGTGTTATTGCAAAATAGTTTTGGATTGTCCACATTACTCAAACAAAATTCATTTATTACTTAAAAGAAATGGTCCATACCTTTGAATTAGCATATGCTAGTGTGCCAATCTTATTGCAAATTAGTTTTAGATGGTTCAGACATTTGAATTAACATATGGACATCAAGCTAGTTTGCATGCTATTTAGTAAGTTTTGAGTGTCCACATTGTCGTGAGAAACTGGACATGGTCTGTTCCCGACCATTTATCCTGGAGGAAGGTGTATTCAAGTGAAAGAGAATGAGAATCTGGTTCATGAAAACTGGTGTCCCTATCTACATGTCCCTTTTATTGTTTATATCCCTATAGTTAGCCCCTAAAGGTAATGGGAATGGAAACAATAACATAAACATGACAAAGGTTGAAGGGAGAAGATGGCCTCCCTATCAGGGGTAAGTCGTGGGAATAAGAGACATACATCCACTCTTTTATGTTGAAAGTCTACAATGGTGTTGGCTGATACCTAAGGATAATATTTTTCTCTATTAGTTTGGGGCCTATCCAATGATGTCAACAGATACTTCTTTGACAGCCAAGGGTCACAAAGAAAAAGTTGAAGAACATGACTAGGCCTAGGAGAAGAGCTCTTATTTTGACTTGGTGATTCACAAGTCCTGACAAGCCCCATAATCTTTTCAGTCCTGTCACATATTGTCTCTAGAGGTGCTGTCCACCCTAGGCAATGGCACTTCCTACAAGACCTGCCATTTAACTCAAATTTTGCATAGTATTTTGGTTGATTTGACCTTGAGACTCTAGATTTTGCCTTATAGTGCAAGTGACCAACGTTTCTTGCAAAACTGGTTGTCTGCTCAGAAACTGATGAACTCTTTGAGGATTTCACGAGTTCTACACTCAGTTTAAACCAGTGTTTAAAAAAGTGGATTAGTGACCCGAATCGTTCACACCCATACCCATGTCGGATCGGTGGATTAGATCGGAGAATTGGCTGAATCGGCAATTTTTATCCCAATTTTTTATAAAAAAATTACTATAAATATCTAAAAATAGTATTCTTTTAGTTTCTAAAATAAATTAGGAGTGGTGCATTATGTACTTTTGTTACTTTATAAAAATAGGTGAATACTGAGACACTATTTTCTTGTCTGGATGTCTGTATAGTTATTAATTATAATACTACTAATATAATATTATAATATTACATTAAAATAATTTCAGAATATTAGAGTAACACTTCCATATTATAAGATTTAAAAAAATAATTTCCCATATACAACATATTAGAAAACACTTCCATATTAGAATTTTTTTTAAAAAAATACTATAATTTCTCAAAAATCTAATTTTTTGGTTTCTAAAAGAAATAGTGATACTTGATTTATGGTTTTTTATTATTGTGTAAAAAATATGTAAATACTGAGAACTTGTCTCATATTGAGTATTTGTTGCCTATTAAATTTATTTTATAATCAAAATAAAGTTTGAAATTGAACGTTACAATAAAATAAATCTCTCTAATTAAATTTATTTATTTTATTATTGTATTAACTTTGAATTTTAATTTTTAAAAGAAGTTATATGTAACAAATTTAATGGAAGAGGTTGGTAGTAGAGAGAGAATTTTAGTAGAGTTATTTGTTTATACTACTTAATACAGAGAGAATTTTAATAGAATTATTAATAGAAGAAACTTTGTAAAGAGAGAAAGGTTGTCCAGAGAGAGAAGGGTTGTTAGTAGAGAGAGAGAGATGCTAGATGGCCGGGGGGGGGGGGGAGGGGGTGGAGGGAGAGAGAGAGTTAGGTTGATGGAGAAAAAAAGTCATGCCTAGCTTGTTGTACTCTGTCAAGATGTGAGGGGAAGAAACAAATCCCACATCGAAGATACGAAAGTGCATAAGGCAGTATAAAGCCTACCACTCAACATAGCTTGTTGTACGTGTGACTGAGGTAAGAGGGGGAGTACACTTGCTGTGTTGTTTGTATGTGCATGACTTCCAATACATAGCTGGCACTTGAGTTTTTTTTTTAAAATTTTAAATTGCTAAATTTTCAAAAAAAAGAAGAAGAAAGTATTTAGACCTTACTGGTTCACTATAGCGAATCAACGATTCGTGACGTCAGAATCGCGATTTCCTGTAGCGACACGTTCGGATCCCGTTTTATTAGCAGATTTGTAACATCTTGGATGATACCCGATCCGGAATCGGATTCGGATCGCCCAATTCCGGATCGAGACACCGAATTTTTAAATAGTAGTTTAAACAATCGATGTAGGTTCCCTTATGGATCTTGTTGTTCTTTTGATTTCTTAATATGTGAAAGCATGTTTATGGTGCGGCTAATCTCTTTATTCCACATATGGAACCTTTGATCCTTGGGAATCTTCATTGATCGAGGCATTGTATAAGAAACCATAAAAAGTCGAAAAGATGCATTAATAAAAAAAAAAATGGAGAAACCAATTTTGTGAAGCAATTTGATTAATCAAATCAAAGATATGTATTTTTCTCCTAAATCAAGTCTCATTATCACAGTGATTAGAATGATCCACCCTGGAATGGGCCTTCTGACTATTGTATGTAATCCCACCTGTTGTTGCGACTAAACTGCTGAGTAGTAGCTCACCTTGCTCCACCTAATACCTCGATGCCATTCCTTTGGTTGCTTGCTTAGCATCTAAAAATCACATTGGAGAAAGCCTGAAGCAGTTGGTTTGTGAGGCCTTTCTCCTTGTTCTCAACAACTTTTATGAGAAGCAGAGTGATGCAGAATTCACATGGAACTAAAATAATACAGAAAATAAAATGCCGAAGTAGGAATTGTTTCAGCATGGTGCAAGTTTGTTGGAATTGACCTCGTGGTGCTTGCAGCATGTTCGGTCTTAACAATGAAACTTCCATGGGGATGCGTATGCACTTTCTGGTTCACCCATTTCAAAACACTTATTTTGTGAATCATGCTTTTTCAAAACAGTTATTTTGTGAATCATGCTTTATGCTAGTTATGTTATTCTATTTTGCAAATATTTAAGACTACTTCATTCTTCAAAGTTTTTGATCAACAAAAGAAGGTATTAGGTTTTATAGGATGTTTGTATTACTGGGGAATAGTATACTGGTATATTATGTGGTTTTATTTGTCTCTGTATAAGGAAGGAAAAGAAGGGCGTGAGTTTTGAATTGCTTATCCTCTTTTTCCTCTAATCTCCTAAAATTCAGTTTTTTTTTTTTCCTAAAAACACTCATCCTGAAAACCTTCCTCCCCTGTAAAATAAATTAGAGGGGGGGAATATGATCTAAATAATAGGATTTTTCATTTCTCCAGAAAAAAGGAAAAGAAACGAATAGAACAGCATTTTATAACAGATTCCATAGAGATTTATCAAATTAAAACAAAAAAATATGAATTTACATCCATCAAAATAGACTATGTCAGTAAATTCAAAATAGCTGGAATTTAAGAAAAAAGATATAATAGGATTTTTCATTTATCCAGAAAAAAGGGAAAAGAATCAAATAGATGAGCATTTTATATGTTGTTAAACAGATTCCATAGAGATTTATCAAATTAAAAATTCGGTTTCCTCTAAAAAATCTGAATTTACATCCATCAAAATAGACTATGTCAGAAAGCAATTAAAAATAGCTGGAATTTAAGAAAAAAATAAAAATAAATAAAAAAGATATCAATTGATTTAAATTTAAAGGAAAAAATTATACATTTTAATATTTTATTTTTTGTTTTGAATAGGATATTATATAAAGCATCTTTGACCTGTTTTCTCATCTGAGCATCGTCCAAAACCGATGCCATTATCTAGTTCTAGGAAATGTCCATTTCCCCCCTGAATGGGCATGATGCACATTTTCATTTTTTCTTGTTGAAAGGATGATGATGATGATCAACTTTTTCATCAATGAAAATCGTGTTCCATGTTATTGTTAGCCATTGATCCTTACTACGTTTTTTAAGTCGTAATTGTTTTGTGTGTAGGGCAAGGCAGATGCTATTTTAAAGACCCCAGATGCTGACTCTGCATTAAATCTCCAAGTTAGTTTTGATCATAACCCACGCATTGGTGAACATCTGTCAACAACTTTATATTCTTGATACCATTTCTAAAATTCTATTTTCTGTGCCAAAAAGGATGTTCAGGGACTTGTAACTTGGGTTCTTGGCGAAGGAATCATGCCATCTTGGGTTTTTATTAAGGTATGAAGGCTTCCTTGGATGGTGTTTTTCTTAAGTTCTCTTATTCAGTTTTATTGTCTCATTTTTTTTTGTTATTGTGAATTGGTCTATAAGTTATGTTTCGTTGAACATCTT